TCCCGGGTTTTTTTTTTTTTTTTTTGTCTTTTGTCTTTTTTCCGTGTCCGGCAACGGATCGCAACCCTCAGTGTTGCCCCCGTACCGGACCGGGGACCGGCAACGGGATCGCAAGCTTCGGTGTTGCTCCCGCGCCTCGCTCAACCAGTGAGCGGGAACCAGTCTATACGTGGGATCCGAACCCTCGGACGGGAGCGCCGCCGCGCTTCCCAAGCGGCACACTATCCAGTGCGCCACCGGGCCGTATGCCAGGCTTTTGAGTAAGATTTTGCTTGAAAAGATTTTGTAGTTAAAAGGAAAAGGCTTGAAAAGCGTTGGTATACATGACTGTCATCCATCTTAAGAGCTCATGATAAGTATAAATTAAACAAATTATTCAGTTCATTATAGACAATGACCATTAAAAAAGTGGGGAGGAGGGGTTTAATCTAGTCCAAGAATGGAAAACACATAACCTGAAATTTTAGTCCGATGCTTTAAAAGGTATACCAGTAGGCACTCACTACAGATGGTGGCCAGGCTAAGAAAACATCCTTTGGCAGAGGTATGGCATTTCCTACCTGAAGCTGATCCACTCTGTTTACCATTTTCTCATTTTCTGAGGACATCTTCTGGTTTCGTTCTTTCAGTCTGTGAAGTGGAGGTAACTATGTGAAAACATTTGTTAATTCCAGGTCAGCTCCTCCTGGCCTTAAATGATTTAAGGCTGGCTCAGCCCTAAGCCTGCAGCGTTATTTTAAAATCCACTACCCTCCACTGTAGTCCTGTTATGACTTCCTGACTCCAAGCAAGTGCAAGTATTCAATTCCTGAAGTTAATACTTCAATTCAGATCATTTCTCCTGACTATTCTGATACTAATTCTCTAACCTAGAATTAAAGAGGACATGATTTAAAAGTGGGAGAATCACAAGAAGAGTGTTTTCTAACAAATTCCAGAAATCTAATCTGACTTTACCTAAGTGTGTCTATGATACAGCAGCTCCTCCCATGCCATAATTAGGGGACACACTCACTGAAGCAGCTCTGTCTCCCAACAGTCCTTCTGCTCTTTAACTTTCTGTTCCAACTTCTTATTGATGCTTTGAAGGGTTTCTAGCTCTTCCTATAGATTGAAACATCATTAAAGGAACAGACCATTTCTAAGACACTTTTTAGTATCTCAGGCAACCAATAAATATTTATTGATCACTTACTGTATGAGTATGACAGGCATAGAATGATACAGCAGAGAATCCCCAAGTAAAGGGATTTCCAGGGCCGGTCCGTGGCTCACTTGGGAGAGTGCGGTGCTGATAACACCAAGGCCCCGGGTTCGGATCATTATATAGGGATGGCCGGTTAGCTCACTTGGGAGAGCGTGGTGCTGACAACACCAAGTCAAGGGTTAAGATCCCCTTACTGGTCATCTTTTTTTTTTAAAAAAGAAGGATTTCCACATTTGAATGTTTTTAATATGTTCTTTTCATATTAAAAATGCATATACCTTAATTTCTCTTTCACTGGCGCTATTTGTCCATTAATTAATTAAACAAACATTTATTGAGTGCCTATTTCACACCAGACGCTGTTCTGGCACTGCAGACACAGCAGTAGACAAAATAAACAAAGTTGCTTTCCTTCCAGAATAGTGCTGTTCAATAAATTAATAAGAGCCACACAAGTAATTTAAAAATTTTAGTGGCCACATTACAAAAGTAAAAAGAAACAGATGTAGCTAATTTTATTTATTTATTTATTTATTTATTTATTTATTTATTTTTAAAGATGGCCGGTAAGGGGATCTTAACCCTTGACTTGGTATCAGCACCATGCTCAGCCAGTGAGCAAACCGGCCATCCGTATATGGGATCCGAACCCGTGGCCTTGGTGTTATCAGCACCGCACTCTCCCGAGTGAGCCACAGGCCGGCCCCGATGTAGCTAATTTTAATAATAATATATTTCATCCAATATAGATAAAATATCATTTCAATGTGCATGATGAAAGGAAATATTTTACATTTTTTTAATACTAAATCTCTGAAATCCAGTGTACATTTTATGATTATAGCACATCTCAATACAGCCACATTTCTAGTGTTCAATAGCCACGTGTGGCTAATGGTCACCATACTGGTCCTGGACATTTGTTTTTTCTTTCCCAACTTAATTCTCCACTGAAGTAAACCTTGTCCATCCATATTAACTCCCTGCTTTTAGCTCGAAGTTTCTCAAAATTCTTGCTTATAGTCTTTAGAGAAAACTCCCCTTTAGCTTAGCTTCTAGCATTATCAACTCTCATTCATCACCTGCTGGTTTGAAGGATGAGTAAAAAGAGCAGAAATAGCAAAGAGTTTGGATAATCTGTAACCTTAGTTTAATACTAACTCTTCTCTCTCTTGATGTCCACATTTTAGCTAATCAAAGCAAATATTTCAAATTATAAATAGGCAATGGGAAGAAACAGTAGGAATGCCTGGATTTGAATCCAGGCTCCATCACTAATTACTTAAGCCATCTAGGCTTCAGATTATTCATTTACAAAATTAGGCTAACAGTACCTATCTCAAAGGTTTGCCATGAAGTTTATTCATTTATTTTTTTGGGCGGCTGGCCGGTACAGTGATCTGAACCCTTGACCTTGGTGTTATAATGAAGTTTGAAAAAAAAAAAATTCCTATAAAACTTTTAACACTGTGCCTGTTAAAGATATTGGTATAAAGGAGCAAGATCACAAGCAAAACAGAAAATGGTGCTGGATAAGAGGTGCCATCTAATTCTGATCTCCATGCTCCAAGTTCACTTTTACCAGTAGCCGTACCTGCTTCCTTTGGAGCTCAGCCTGCATGTCTGAGTTCTGCTTCTGGAGGCTGACACAGTTGTCTTTCAGCTCCTGGTTTTCTTTGCAAAGCTTCTTGTTGTGCTGCTCAATCTCTTCTACTTCTCCCTACAAAAAGACCATTCCATGAACTATATTCAAGTCCCTCTAGTGGAAAAGTCCCATAGGCTGGGATGGTAAGGGTCTGACCAATTCCCACTCACTTTAGTGACATCTGTGTACCAAAAATGGGAGCAGCTCCTCAGTAGGTAGGTAAGGGTGTAATAGAGGTATGTTTGTATAATTGTAGCATTAAGAACCACTGCCAAGAAAGATAAGCAAAAATTAAGGCCATAAAAAGTTAATAGGTGGAATCATAGAAGAATGTAGATTCTTCTTGCAGATACTTAGTACTGTTTGTCTCTTCCACGGGACCTAGCTCCTTGAGGCTGGGGACAGTGTTTTAATTGATTCATGCATCCCCAGTGCCTACAACGGTGCTGGATGAAAAGTAAGTGTCTTGTTTGATGACTGAGTAAGTAAATTAATATAATACTCATATATGTCAGGCTCTGGGTTAGAACTGAGAGAGATACAAAGAAGAATATTTGGTGCTTCTCTCATCAAAGGAGCTTACACATTTACTGTGGTGATAAGATGTGCAGATGACAAAAATTAAGTAACTGCAAAAGTTAAGGGAATAAATGAATGCCAGCTGAGTTACAGAAGTTTTAGAGAAGGGAGAAATCACTTATTGTTATGATTCTTATTAACATTCCTAAGACATTCTTGAGTGGGCTTGAATTGGTACTGTATACATTTTTCCCAATAGTATCTGTTAGATATTCAATAAAGCCTTGTAAATGATTTGATCATCACATACTGTGCACAAATAATGATAGTCAACACTGTGCCCCCAAAATACGTATAATCAATTATGCTTCAATAAAAAATAAAGCCTTATAGTCTCAAATTTCACCCTATCCTGGAATTGCTACTTTTACTAGCAGAAAGGAACTAAGGTGAGATGTTTACAGACCTGAGGGGTAACAACCAGGATATCCTCCTCATTTTCTGGACGGAATTGGAAAGGGATGCTTGCTCCCCGGACCACACCATCCTGATCCACATAGCAGAACTGGTAATACTCATCATCCTTGGGCAGGTAATAAGCTGAAAACACAACATAATTTTTAATCCAAAATAAACTCTATTTAGAAAATTGAAAATGTGAAAGTTTTTTATGTGTCCCAGAAAGGTCAAGCTGAAGAGAATTAATTAGTCTTGGCTGCTATCTTTAGCACATTTGATCCAGTATTCTCACCTTTGAATTGAACTTCCTGCTGTTTGGCTGATTCCTTGTTTAGGTCAATGGGCAAAGTAACCCACATGAAGGTGTAATACTCACGGGTTGTCTTCCATCCCACCTGCAATGACAAGAGGCTCTCATTTAGCACCTAAAAGGGCTCAGGAGAAAATCCTTATTTGGGCGATATCTTCTTAAACTGCACTTACTTTTTATTTGTGTTGAAAATACAATAGAATGAGTTCATTATGATAAGATTCACACACCATGGATCAAATCTTGTTTTTTGACTTATGACAACTATATATGGGAAAATGTCTGATACAACTAAAAATTGGGGCACACACGCACAGTTAAAAATATCAGTCTTAGAAGGAAATGAAAACTGGCTCCTCAACAGCTGGGACAAGAGCTCCAAAAATTATGTCTCCAAGTAAGACACAGAATTGAGAGTGATGGGGAAAAAGCTCTGGGAGTGTGAATCTTAATCCCACTATCTTCTTACAATGGTGTTCTTGGAATTTCTAAATCAGAAAGCATTTCTGACCTGCCCTCTCCACTGGTTTGTCCTCTACTGTGTGCAATTCACACTTGTCATATACCAACTTGGTTATACTACTGTGTTTAAAAAATGCATTCTTTTGAATAATTTGTATCTTGAGGACAGAGAGTTTTTAGATTATGAGGCACTAGATAAGAAAGTCCAGATCTATATAGTTTTCTTCAGTGTTTTTCTTAATCCATGCTTAATGAAGGGTTTTTGGTGATAAAAATAATAACAATCTGGTAGTTTCTGTAAAGACCTTTCTAGGTAGTGAATGCAGTAAATCATAAGATATAAGGACACAGCAAAACATACCTCAGAACAGAAAGCTGGCTAAATGGAAAATATTCTCACTAAATGTGAAGAAGGGTAAAAGATTGCTCAAATCTTATCTGAACATAAAAGCACACCAGAGAATAGAAAGGGAGTCATTGTATCTTCAAGGGGAGAATACTCAGCAAATGAGAAGCAAAATTACATTTATTGTCATATTTTGACCCTGTCTGAGCCCAGTGGGAAGAGAAAGAACTAAAAATAAATTCCATTTTTATATATTAAGGAATCAGAGCAGGGTTGAAAAGGTTACACCAAAAGCTTATCAGAACATACTAGGGCATGTTTTAGAATCTCATTTATACACACCCCATTGCTGTAAGCATCTCAGAGCCACTGCAGCCTGCGGTGGTACAGGAAGCAGGAATTTTATGGTGTCCTCATTCACATCCTGGAGTTTCTTAATGCACCGTGACCAAAATATCATCGGAAAGGTCTAAGAATTATTGCTGCCTTGGAACAAGAAAACAACTTCTAGCTACCTGCAATTTCTGTCCTTGGCTCCTCCACACGAATAGTCCTAGTCCCAGTCTGCCTGCTGTGGCATGCTATTTTGCCTCTCTAAAACCTTGGAAATGGGCCGGCCCGTGGCTCACTCGGGAGAGTGCGGTGTTGAGAACACCAAGGCCCCGGGTTCGGATCCCATATAGGGATGGCCGGTTTGCTTGCTGGCTGAGCGTGGTGCCGACAACACCAAGTCAAGGGTTAAGATCCCCTTACTGTTCATCTTTTTAAAAAAATAATAAAATAAAATAAAACCTTGGAAACATTTAAATGCCCAGGTCAAGGACAGTATAGAGCACAGGACTATACACTGAAGGAAGGAAAGTTGACTGCTACCTGCTTTAGGCTCTGTCATTGGTGGTAGCTTTGACTATATTAAGAAGATGTTAACATACTGCATATATTGAAAAACAACAAGTGCCTACTTGGTGCCAGAACCTACCAGTGTTAGGGGTGAAGAGGAGTTGAAGAACAATGTGGTTAAGGCTACACTGACAGAAAACTGGGGAGAGCTTTGGAAGTGAGATATGAAGGATAAAACATTACAGCCAACTCTTAATTCTCTAATTTCCCATTTGTTGTTCAAAAGAATTCAGCAGAGTAAAGGAGAAAGCAGAGGTTTGGGAATCAAATTTGTTTCACCTCTTACTCATTGTGAAATCTTAGGAAAGTCTCTATCTCTCTAGGATATTCATTTTACTCATCTGTGCACCAGAGATAATACAACCCACCTCTGGGGGCTGCTGTGCTGAGGACTAAATTAGAAAAAACACACACATACCCCTCAGGAAAGGCCTAGCACATAGTATGTCCTCAGGGCAGGTGTTCAAAACAATTGCTTTAAGGACAATGAACATTAGAGGCCCTTCTTTGTTTTTTTTTTTTTTAAAAAGATGACCGGTAAGGGGATCTTAACCCTTGACTTGGTGTTGTCAGCACCACGCTCACCCAGTGAGCAACCGGCCATCCCTATATGGGGTCCGAACCCGTGGCCTTGGTGTAATCAGCACCGTACTCTCCCGAGTGAGCCACAGGCCGGCCCCTAGAGGCCCTTCTTTGGATTAACCATTATTTCTTTATCGAGGTATGGCAATACCACTGCAATGTATGAAGTGTTCCAAATATAGATGCATCTTTTTTCTAAAAATGCTTTTAAATATTTATTTTTAAAAAGCACAAGATTTTTACTTGGTTTATGGTAAAGTCCTACTGATAGCTTCTAAATTCTTGGGGAATACAACCAGTCTAAGTAAAATAGAAATATAACTGTGTTACCAAAAAAAGAAAGAAAGAAAAAAAAAGACGTTACAGATTACATTTCAAAGCCTAGTAATTTTTGAATTATTCTTTTTTTATTATCTGTACCTGCACTGTCCAATATGATAGTCACTAGCCACATGAGGCTATTTAAATTTAAATTATTTAAAATTAAATAAAATTTAAAATCCAGCTGATAACACCAAGGTTCAGGGTTTGATCCCTGTACCAGCCAGCTCTCCTCCCCGCTGCCAAAAAAATTTTAAATTCAGTTAGTCACACTAGCCACATTTTAAATGCTTAATAGTCACATGTGACTAATTAATAGCTACTGTTGTGAATAGCAAAGGTACAGTTCCATCGCAGAAAGTTCTATTGGATAATGTTGATCTTTATGCTTTACTACACATGGGGAAGAAGAAAAACAACTACCACCTTCTTTCCAAGATATAAAACTCTGGTGTGTCAGTTTTCTGTCTTGGAAGACCTTTTATTTTTTTAATTTTTTATTTTATTTTTTTTCAAAAGATGACCGGTAAGGGGATCTTAACCCTTGACTTGGTGTTGTCAGCACCACGCTCAGCCAGCGAGCAAACTGGCCATCCCTATATGGGATCCAAACCCGTGGCCTTGGTGTTATCAGCACCACACTCTCCCGAGTGAGCCGCGGGCCGGCCCCGGAAGACCTTTTAGTCTGATGATTCGTGACACCTGCCAGTATCTTGTTGTTTGTCTACCATCCCTATCTCCAAACACTAGTCTTGTTATCTCCGGCTTCCATTGGTCCATCAATAAGCTTAGCATTTCAAACAATTAAAGAAAAGGAATTCAATGAGGAATGTAAATAAGCAATAGCTCCTTCACAGTGCAGTCAAGAATGATGTGTGATTTTAGGAAGAACAGCATTGGCAAACAGGCACATGACATAGTGAAGTGTCAAACCAAAGGTCACTGATGTTAGGACTCAGCAGTATAAATTACTTAAATATGACCTTTATTTCCTGTCTCTGGAAATAGAAAGATTTTTCATTATGGGGTGTGTGTACATAATGTGTGAGAGAGAGATGGGAGGGAGAAGGGGATGTAGAGAATAAGTTGATTAAATTTTATTTATTTATATTTTAATGGAGATTTTTTTCTTTATTGAAAAATTTTAGACTTGGCTACATCAAATAAAACCAATTTCTGGAGGGTAAAATCAAAATCCACAATAGAAAAAAAAGATGTTAACACTGTCTGGGCCATAGCAGAACCCAGACGATATATTTAATTGAAAAATTCTGGGCTCTTCGTTTTTGGCCGGAACCGCCATCTTCCAGTAATTCACCAAAATGACAAAACACAAACGGAAAGAGGAGAGGCACCTGATATATGTTTTCTAGGCCTTTTAGAAAACATGGAGTTGTTCCCTTGGCCACATACATGCAAATATACAAGAAAGGTGACACTGTAGACATCAAGGGAATGGGAACTGTTCAAAAAGGAATGCCCCACAAATGTTACCATGGTAAAACTGGAAGAGTCTACAGTGTTACCCAGCATGCTGTTTGCATTGTTGTAAACAAACAAGTTAAGGGCAAGATTTTTGCCAAGAGAATTAACGTGTGTATTGAGCATATTAAGCACTCTAAGAGCCAAGACAGCTTTCTGAAACGTGTGAAGGAAAATGATCAGAAAAAGAAGGAAGCAAAAGAGAAAGGAACCTGGGTTCAACTAAAGTGCCAGCCTGCTCCACCCAGAGTCTCACTTTGTGAGAACCAATGGCAAGGAGCCTGAGCTGTTGGAACCTATTCCCTATGAATTCATGGCATAATGGGGGTAAAAAATATAAAATAAAAGACCAAGACCACTATGCTGTTAAAAAAAAAAAATTTAGGCTCTTCATAATTGACCTTTTGATACAAAATAACCTAATAAACTTGCAATTTGTGTTTCTTGGTGTTGAGGTCTACAGGACAAGCTAGGAGGTCTTCAAACCTTGAGCTGAATTCCATGAGGAGTTATTTGGCTTTTGAATCAGTTTTTCCTTGTCTAACTAGAAGCAGCAGCAACAGCACCCATCTTCTGGACAGCTTCTTTCTTGGCACAATAAGCCTGTAGAACCACCACAGCTTCATCCACCATGGAGTGGACAGACTCAGGAGACTCTAGCATGTGCAGCAGTTCAGAGTTGTTGATCTCTAGCAGCATTCCCGTAATCTTTCCAGCCAGGTGTGAATGCATTGTTTCGATTAACAGGAACAAATGTTCTCCCAACATCTGCTTCTGTTTCTGGGAGGGTGCTGTGGCCAGCATGGAAGCAGTCAGGGGCTCCTGCCCCTGCATATGGACTGTAGGCTGGCGTGCCTACAGAGGCTGTATCACAGGATGGGGGCTGCGGACACTGGAAGCATATTTGTATGGTGCAACAGCCTAAGGAGCAGCAGCAGCAAAAGCAGGAGCATGAGGCACTAAGTTCTGCACAGCTGTGGGAATGCCCCCAGACTGGCAGCTGTCAGTCAGCCCTTGCTGGGTGGGCTGACCACCAAAGTCCATAGCCAAGTAGTCCAGGCTCTCAGACCTGACTCTCTGAGTGGTAGTAAGTGGTGCTCCATGAGAGGCTGGAGCATTACCAGTTGGAGCCAGATGGCAAAGAGATGGACGAGGCCCAAACTGGCATACAGCATTTGGCATTCTTGGAAGACTTCAGGTCTCCCACCATGCTGCCAGCATGGATTAGGCCTCATCTCCACTAACTAGCTAGGTGTGTAATATGGAAGTCTTCCCTGAGTCTGTGGAATTGTTGGTACAAAGTAGCCACCAGCTGTAGGCTGGAACTGATTTAAGATGGCATTGGCAGAGAGTGCTCTCATTCCAGCCATCTACTGCATATACTGGTTGGTCAGGTGAGCCTTTCTCTCTTCCTTCCTCTGGGCCAGGGCACCACACAGTGGCTTGGAACCCACGATGTTTCCATTCATCTCTGACTACTTTGGTTGCCTCTTCAGGAAATGAGAAGCAGATGAAGCCAAACCCTTTGCTTTTTCCATCCTCCAGCACTACCTTAGCACTGGTGATTGATCCAAAAAGAGAGAACTCTTTCCTTAATTTCTCATCATCAATGGTGTCATCCCAGTTCTTAATATAGAGATTCACCCCCTGATATGGACTAATTCTCTCCTGTTTCAGCTGCTCAAATTTCCATTTTAACTTGGCCTGCCGTTCCACTTTCTTCTGTGCATGGCCTACAAATATGACTTTCCCACTGATTTCTTTTCCATTCACCTCTTCCACAGCCTTATTGGCATCCTCATGTATTTAGTAACTCACAAAGCCAAAGCCTTTGGATTTCCCCTGGGATCTCTCATCTTCTTGATATTTAGGGCCTTACCAAACTGGTTGAATAGCTCTTTCAGAATCTCATCATCCACCTCTTCCCCAAAGTTTTTGATATAAACATTGGTGAATTCCTTGGATTTGGTTCCAAGCTCAGCTTTCCACTCTTTGCCAGATTTGAACCTGCTCACAAACACTTTGCACTTGTTGAGGAGCATGCCATTCATCTTCTTGATGGCCCTGTCGGCAGCCTCTTGGGTCTTGAAGTGGACAAAAGCATAATCCTTAGAGTTGTTCTCACCATCCAAGCTCAGCTTTCCACTCTTTGCCAGATTTGAACCTGCTCACAAACACTTTGCACTTGTCGAGGAGCATGCCATTCATCTTCTTGATGGCCTGTCGGCAGCCTCTTGGGTCTTGAAGTGGACAAAAGCATAATCCTTAGAGTTGTTCTCACCGCACACCACCTTGTAGGACAGAATGTTTCCAAAAGCAGAAAAAGTATAATAAAGTGCCTTATTATCTATAGATTTGTCTAGGTTATTGATGAAGACATTTCCCACACCAGATTTTCTCAAAGAGGTCACTCCAAAACCACATGATAGGGATTTGCTTTCCCTTAATCACATCAAAGTTCATGGTCCAAGGCCTGCTCAGCATCAGCCAGCTGCTAAAAGTTGAGGTACACATAACTCAGGCACTGGTGGGTGATCATAGCAAGGCAGGTCCAGACAGACAGCATAGGCCCCGCAGGACTGAACTTTTCATACAGCATGGCCTTGGTGACATCTGAGTGCAGGTCACCCACTTAGAGGGAGGACATGAGGTAGCTGCGGGCTGCAGCCATTCATCTCCTGACCCCCCTCTACACCAAAAGGACTTCTTATAGGGCCCCACTGCAGGACAAAAGGAGATCCCCTTGGTGCTGTGGCCCATGCCACAGCTCACAGGTGGCACAGAATGAAGCTGGGAGCAGCTGGAGCAGGTAGGCTGGGAGGCAGGACCAGAAACTGTCAGTTCACAAGTGACAGCTTGCATGCAACTGCAAAACCTCAGACGAAGGATCTCAAAAACAATATGGCACTTGCTGAGAGTTTGTTAATTTTCTGTTGTCTTGGTTTGAAGCGCCAAATTAAAAAAATATGTATATTAAAATGGGGAATCCCCTTCCAAAGAGTTAAAAATTCCTTAAGAGGCAACCAGATATTCCCAGAAGTTTAAGATTATAATGTCCAGAGGAAGGACACCCAATCCGGTGGGTGATGACTCGGTGAACCCCAAGCCACAGGTGGGATGGTGAAAGGCAGTGGTGGAACATGGTGCTCCAGTAGTTGGTGCCTGGGGATAAGTGGCAACATGCATGGGCTGGGGCTGCCACGCAGCGAAGATGCAGGCCAGGCAGACAGAGGTGTGCAGCTCACCACATGACCAACAAAGGGGACCTACAGACACCAAGAACGGCTGTGGCAGTGGCTGCAGGGCAGGCTCAAAGTCTGCCAGAATGACTTCCCCAATCATTCTCTGAGGATTCTCTTTTTTCTTTTCTTTCTTTAAGATTTTTGAAGCATTTTCTGTTTTGTTTTGTTTTGTTTTAATCCTTTTCTCTTTTTAAATTCAGGCTGCTGAGTGACCCAAGGCAGAGAGAAGTTGATTAAAATTTTAAAATACCATTTGTTTTTTTGGTGGCTGGCCAGAGCAGGGATCCAAACCCTTGACTTTGGTGTTAAAACACCGCCTGCAACCAACTGAGCTAACCCGCCAGCCCTAAAAATACCATTTCTGTACTTGAATTGGCAGGGTGATCAGACCCTGGAGGAGTTCACTGAGGGAACTCATAAACTTTATATCCCTGAAAATCTTTACAAAAAAGACACACTTATTTAGGAACAAACTTTTTGGATGCAGGAGGTCAAACCAGATAATTTCTAAACATCCTTTCCAGATTTGTGATATTCCTACTAAAACAAATTAAACACTGTCCCAAGTAAGAGAGTAATGTTTAAAATCACAGAAATTATATAAGGGGTCACTCATCTAAGTCATACTAAATATTTCAGAATAGGATCATTTAAAAAATATTTATATTTGGTATTGAAAGCATAACTTGGGAATCGTATGATTTGCCATCTTATTTTAGCTTGAGACTGAAATTGAAATTTGAGTCCCATAGCACACATTGGTATGTGAAGAGGGAGGTGGTAGGGAGTTTAGCTTAGGATTTTAAAATAGGTCAGACATAATATATAAAATGCTTACAAAACATAGAGTCACATGCTCAGGTAACTAAGATTCACCTCTAGTTCTCCATCACTTGGTGCTAAATTAACCACTTACTCTAAAGATGCCAATCCAGTCCTTTCGACGGGGGATGAAATGCTGAGTGAGAGTGTAATAGCACGTGATGTCCCCTCCGGGGATGTAGAACTTCTCCACACTGTTAAAGATGACCTGAGAAAAATGACAATGATCCAGCAAGACAGCTGACGTGGGGGGATCTTCTATTGTCTTTTCCATGGTGGAGGTCCTGTTATGAGATATGAAATAGAGTAAGGCTCAAAGAGAGTTCTCTGAAATGCTGGAGATTTCTGGGCTGTCACCCAGGGAACATTCCGTTCCAGGCAAGTCAGAAAAAGCAAAATCTTGATGATTATTGAGATCATATAACTTGCTTTCTCTTTCACTTTGAGCCATTTCACATTCATAACTTCCTAAGCTATATGAATTTTCTGCAAATATCTCTGACCTCTTCTTCACCCTCACATACCCTCCTATTCTCTGATCATAGCTAGTTGTTCCTCTTTCTCTAAATGCCTTAAATAAACAAGGCACCTAGAGAAAACAGCCTGAACTGGGAATGTTAAGAGCTAAATTCTAGATTTGTCATCCCAACAAGCCCTATGACTTTAGGATAGTCATCTCTGTGGATTTCAGCATCTCTATTTAATTTAATTTATCCTATAACTATTGGGCCCTTCCATATATAAGACACTATGCTGGGAGCTGGGGACGAAGTGGGAAGAAAGACAGGGATGAGAGAAGATTATCTGACACACAGTGGTGACAAGCATGGGTTCTGAAATCAGAATGGTATAGTTCAAATTCCAGCTTCATCACCTACTAAATGCATGATACTGGGCAATTTACTTAATTGACTGGGCTTTGTGCATGTTTCCTCATCTGTAAAACGAGGCTAATAATAACATCTACCCCGTGTGGTTTTTAGTGAGGCCTATGTGGAATAATGCAAAGTGTCCAGTCCTTAAATCAATGCCTGCCATAGAGTAGACACTTCACACAAAGTAGACACATGTTGCATGACAGAATAAAGGACTTAGCACAGAATCTGCACAAAGAAAGGATTTAACAGATATTACTGATTATTACTGTAGTTGTTGTGGGTTTGTTTTGTTTTGTTTTTTTGGCACAGTTCTTGTCCTCAAAGGGGTCCCAGTCCAATACAGAGGACAGATGAGTATACAAGTGACTGCCAAATGAATGAAATAAAGAAGTGCAAAATGCTTTGGGGCTCAAAAGAGAGAGTGATGCAATTGGTTAGGAAAAATGAAGAAAAGCTTAAGGGAGTGAATAAAATCTTAGACAAACCCTCAAGGAAGATTAGGATTTTAACAAGTAGGTTTACAAGCGAGGGCATTCAAGGTAAAGGAAACAGCATGAAGTAACAGTAAAGAAATAGAAATACGCAGCCCATGTTTGGAAGACAGAAAGCAGGTTTGGATCCCTGTCTATAAAATGGGAATAATAACTCATGTTTTATTCTTCTAGATCACAGTACAGATAAAATGTGATCAAGGATGGGAAACTATTTTGGAGGTAAAAACAATACATAAAAGAAAGTGTTTTGAATTGTTATCACCTGATACCTCCTGTCCCTCAAACAAGTCACACGCACTGTCTTAAAAATGCCTTGCTGGCCTAACATTTAATGAGTCCATTATTCTCAACTCAGGGTTTTACTAGGAAATGAAAAAAAGATTGCAGCTGTACACAGCAGATGAAGAAAAAGCTGTACATATGCAAAGACTACATGATATTCTACAGTGAGCTGTTGCAAGATGTTGGAAGATTGTATACACACAGGCACACATACAATTTTTAAAAAAATGTACAATAACAAAACAAAACAAAAAAATAGCTACTCTAACCCTGCCCCACCCTATCTATTTCCTGGTTTTACTTTGTAGTCTAAGCAACTAGGCCTCCTCTTCTAGCTCCCCAGAAGTCAGTTTTTTGTAATGGGACTTTGGGCCATTGAGCTGTCTACTCTTGGGAATGAGCTAAGGAACTAAGAAATGCATTGGTTTTCTTGTAGTTTAACCACATCCTCAACCTCAAACCTCAGAACAGTTTTTCAAAGGTGGGGATGGGGTGTCACATTCTAGTCTAGGTCAAGGCTTTTCCCTATGATAAGCCCTTGCCTCTATGATAAAGGTTTCTCTTGGATGCTATAGGAGGGTGGGCAGGGAGGTTTCTCAGTTTGCAGATCCTTTTTCCCCTAGTGGTCTCCAGTCATCCTGATGCCAGCATTTCCCTTCGGTCCTAAACCTGGAGTGCCAATTTATTTTTTTTCCTTTTCTTTTTTGGCAGCTGGCCAGTATAGGGACCGAACCCTGGACCTTTGTGTTATCACCACTGTGCTCTAACCAACTGAGCTAACTGGCCAGCCCCTGGAGCACCAACTTATCCGAGCATGTAAAATGACTTATTTGTCCTTTGACTATGGATCATGAAGAACACTCAGGAAAGAGTGCCTTCAGTGCCTCAATTAAACTAAATACCATACTCCCTGTTCTTTTCCTTCATAACACTATCTCCTCTATATTCACAATGTCTAAGGCATATTAATTGCTCATTAAGTATTTTTCAAATAAATGAATGAACAATTTATGCACGTAATTTATCAAAAAGTAAAAAAAGAAGGGGCTTTGTAGGTAAACAATGGTGAGGATGATAGTAGGGCTAAGAGTCCTTTTTTTCAGCCCTGCTCTTAATTTGTTGGACAACCTTAGAGAAGCTGTTTCTCAGGTTCTCTTTTCTAAAATAGGGTGAGGAGATGATAATCTCCAAGTGCTAAGTCAGTTCTTGGTATGGCTGGTTCAGCTGGCCTGGCTGGTTCAAATGGCATGGTGCAACTGTTTCTCAGGTTCTCTTTTCTAAAATAGGGTGAGGAGATGATAATCTCCAAGTGCTAAGTAAGTTCTTGGTATGGCTGGTTCAGCTGGCCTGGCTGGTTCAAATGGCATGGTGCAAAACAACAACAACAACAACAAAGGGCACAGGTTTGACTTCCTTAAGAACCCATCAAATTCACACTCCATTGCTCACCTTCCACACACTTAAACTCTGGCAAGCTGTTTTGCAAATGGATACTACTGTGAAAGGCAAGACCAGCCAAGGATATGGGCGGCTTGGTACAGCTTCTCTTTCCTTACTGGAAAAGCAACCAATTTAAGTTAGCTCATGAACAGAACACTGAAGAAAGGATAGCACATACATACAAAATAACATGAAAGAGCTCATGTTCTGAGGTTTGAGTGTACAAAGAAAACTCTTTCTCTTTTCATTCATCTGAAAACCTAGTCATCTGTCTGAAAAAGTCAATAGCCTTGGTTACTTGCTTTTCAAAAACATAAGAGACTCCATGAAGCTTCCCACTTCAGGGAAAGCATCACCTTCCCAGAAGGACTCAAAGGGCAACCAGTGGCACTCTGCGTATTCAAAACTCAATCATTCTTGCAATAAAGGTTAAAATTCTCCTCTGCCAAGACCAGGGAATGGGTTGGAGTTGAGGAAGCAGGTAGAGTGGAGAACAGCAGTCACTTCCCTTCTCTCTTTCTTACCAAGCTGAGGACAGAAAGGGCCATGGGTAAACCTAGGACATAACCATATCAACCTGAACTGGGTCAGTGAGGAAGTACTCCTCAACTTTTCCTGGAGGGAAGGCATATGCTGATTTTTAAGTTCAGTGATCCTAAAGCCTTTCCTTCCTCCCAGTCATAAAATTCCCTGGGAGAAATGGGCTCCAACAGTGGCTTGGAAAATTGCCTTTCTGACAAATCAGTCTAGAAATAAGTGTTTGTGGAGGGGGGAGGGAAGCAGGGATATGGAAGGAAAACTGGAATGATTTAAGCATCAACTTCCCCCTCCCATAATGACCCTTCCTATCACAGAACCTGTCCACTATCTACTCCTAATTCTGTCAATAATTCATAGCAAGGAAGAGAGAAGAAATATAAGAGGAGCAAAAGTTAAATTTGGAAACCCAGAGAGCTACTGAGTCAGGAAAAATCAGGGGGATGAATTAAGTCCCCTAGAAATTATGGAATGGTATTCCAACTAATTCCTTACTCCTATCCCTAAATCAAAGACTGGCCACATAAGGAGTGACACAAGAAAACAAATAGGGATTTTTAAAAAGAAAACCATCAAGCATGGGAAAGTAATGCACAGAGATTCCATAAACCGTCAGAGGTACTTGACGTGGCCTCTGACATGGTTGTTAGCTTTTTTTTCACTTCGGTTTCCAAAAGGGTTAGGTTCCTCAGAGGAGATGGCAATAATAGGAATGTATTTTATTTTATTTATTTATTTTTAAAAGATGACCGGTAAGGGGATCTTAACCCTTGACT